CTTTGACTGCTCTTTTGTTGCATTTTTTTACTGCACTTTAGTTGCACTTTGACAGCTCTTTTGTTATGCTTTTTTTACTTCACTTTAACTGTGTTTTACCTATGCTTTACCCATGTTTTTCCTGCGCTTTGGCTGCACTTTTGTCGTGCTTGGCTTAATGTTCCGCTGACACATTAAGTATATAAAGTAAAAAAATAAATACTACGTGTCCACTCCACGTGTCACAATTTTATTGAAGTCCGAGCATACCTCTACATCCAGTCTCCACACCTAATAATTTTTCCTTCTGATGACCCTATTAGGAGAGTAGGTGTATTAGATTTGACCTATGTTAAGAAATATAGATGTTGACCTAAAAAGACTTGGTAAAAAAATATTAGAAATGAGCTTTATTTATTAGATTTAAATGAAGAATTGACTTTTAACATGACACAATGAAGAAAAAGGATTCATGAACTTAACCCCACAGTGGGGTAAATATTTGATGTTGTTGTACAAGTACTTTTATAAAAAAATGTACTTGCTGTAAAATTATGAATTTGAAAGCATATAAATGATGTATGACAATCATCTTTATAAAAAGTTATGACATGACTTCAAAAGTGTAGAAATAGTCTATCATAGATTATTTATACTCCTAATGCTAAAAATGGTAACAATGACACCTTATTTAAGGTGCAACCATTCTTAGGCATCTAATTCGACCTCTCATTATAAGTCAAGTCATTAATATTCTGATAGAATGTGATTATTACTCTGATAAGAATGCGATGACTAAAATATTTTGGGCTTGTATGATTTCAATCATATACTGTTTAATATCAAACATACAAAGAGGGCAATGTACTAAGAGGAAACTACTTGTAAGTGTGAATTAGTACGAGGATATTAGTTGTAAATACAAAACAAACAAAAAGAATAATCATTAGAGAAACCCTTTGTAATTTCTGGCTGTGGTCTTATATATCCTCAAGAGCAAACCTGTTCCTATATCAATGCAAAGGCAAATGGTGAGGCCAATACCTTCACCCACACCAACACCTGCATTAAACAAAGACAGCTCTCCATCATTTACTTCAATATAGTCTGATTTTATATCCACAGCATTTTATGAAGCAAAACCTTCATATTTCATCGGCTGTAAATCATACATAACCACATCTTAAAGCATATTCGAAGAAATTGTGAAGAAAAATGCTTGGCTAAACTCATTATGTGGTGGTTTGGTCACATTAAACAGAGGCCTTCTGATGATCCGGTTAGGAAAGTTGAGGTATTATATTTGATTATGTTAAGAAAAGTAGAGGTAGACCTAAAAAGACTTGATTAAAAAATATTAGAAATTATCTTTCTTTATTAGATTTAAATAAGAATTTGACTTTTAACATGACACAATGGCGAAACAGGATTCACGTACCCGACCCGACGTAGTGGGACAAAGGCTTGATGTTGTTGTTGTTGTATTTGGAAATATTTTCAATCACTTAAAAATAATATTTTTACTAATTCAAAATATGAAATTGAGTGATAAGTACCTGATGAGGTTCCTTAGGCAAGATTTTTGTCACTATTCCTATTGCCTCATCCTCAGGAACTGAATCTAGAGCTAGTACCATCTGATTATTCTTCTTCTTTCCAAGATAAAGGGTTTTGGTCAATATAATAGCAGAGCCTGAAAACAAGCTAGCAACATAGACCTCAATAGTTGGCCATAAAACCTCTTAACTTATAAACTGCTTTCTCTTCAAAAAGTAGAATCCACCAGACATTACATGCTGGCACATTTTACTCTATTTTTTTATAAATTGCTTTCTCTTCATAAAGTAGAATCTACCTGATGTAATTAACCATAAATGCATTCCTTTATAGGAGACTCAAGACCCCAGGTTAAAATAAATCTCATTTTATTTAGCTCTTAAATAGAATGGGGAAATTGTTATTTTGGGAGAATTAAAAGACTAAAAGAAAATTCAATATCATAATCGTCATGACCAAACTTTTAATAGTAATTGATATTTTTGTGTTCCGAGATAATATATACTTTTCTCGTTGCAATTTAATTATGAAAATTATGATCAAGTACCCTAATTATTATAGTCAAATATATGATTTAACCAGTTTTTAACCCTCTAAGGCTATATGTAGCTCTCCCTTAAATTTAACTACCATAATCAGAACACAAACTGTATTTTTGTAATATAAACCCATTACAGAATAATATCTTCACCTCCCAAGGTAGCATATTATTCATAATACTGCGTTCGATTATAAAAATACAAACACCAAAGTCTATATTTAATTTCTCCCAAAAAAATCCACCTGCAATGATTTCTTCTCCCAAAACCAAGAGCAAACATGGTGTCCACGTGATTGTATACCCTTTCAAATTACTTTATTGCCATTGTTTTCCATCTTGGGTCTACTTTAATTGTTAAATTCTTTCAAAAAAATCTCTCGAATATCAAATGGAGTTAATGACACACTTAAGAAAAAGCTCGTGGGGGTGTGAATTATTGTTTGTTTTAAACAACTATGAAAAAGATAAAATATTTTTATTTTTAGATTTTTATTTTTCTTGAGGGATTACAAATCAGAAAAACTAATGAAACAAATTCAAGGATGAAAACTAGCAAATATTAGTAAACTGTTTTGCAAGTGATCAAAATTAGATTGTTACAATTTAAGAGTACTCTTGAGATCTATGCAAAATATATGATCATCATGATTTACTAGTACATAGATTAAACAAGAGTAAAGAGAAATAACAAGTAGTTAGAAGTAAAATGGTAAGAAAGTAAAAAAGTATAAGAAAAAATGTAATAAACAAGTTTTATCATGGTTCAATACTAATGCTTATGTCCTTTTCTCAAGATTTGAATACTCTCTAATTTGAACACCAACACGGGGAAATGCATGTCTCCTTGATGGGCACCGGAGAAACCTACACCCTATTCTACTCTATGCAAAAGATCGCCACTCTAGTCCTCATAATAGTCAGCCACAATATTTGAGATCTCAAGGATTCCTTACAATCATAATGTAAAAGCCCTCAACAAGCCACAAAAATCATTGAAAGAATGAGGTGAACGAATAGAGAGTAAATAACCAAGTGATACACTCTCACAATAGAACATTTTCTTCTCTTCTTTTTTTTTTTTCTATGATTTTTTGGCCTCTCACATTTTAGAGCTAATAAGAAGGTATTTATATCATGTACCCTGAAATAAAATCTTAAAATGGATTAGAAAAAAAATTGGGGAGATTGTACATCACGATATACACATCCTATAGTATGATCCATATAAATTGAATTGAATCATACAAATAAAGTTCTCATTTAAATCCACTAGATCATAAAATCAAATTCAAATCATATAATACAATCAATTAAGCCTAATGTGCATCAATTCATCCTTTAATTCCTACTACTAAATTATATTAATTTAGAAATCTAATCAAACAATATGTTATAGAATAGAAAGTACAAATAATTAAAATTTTGAAATAAACTAATAAAAAATAATTTATTATGATTTTAAATTTGAATTTAAACATGATAATACTATAAGATATCAGAGCCCTACATGGGGTCCTGGTTGGGTACCCACGCTCTGCGCTAGCGGGCTTTGCCCACCCACACCCACCTATGGTGACTTTCCAGATGTCATACCCACCCACACCCACCCACTTTCCACGCTTATTGAATGCAGCCTGCCATAGAATAATGGCCTTGAGATTTTTTGTCATTTTTTATGACTGTAAACTTTCAAGCCACATATTAAAATTTATCATGATCATGATGCAGTTCAGTGTTAATTAAGCACTGTGTAGTAAGGATTATTATAATATATTGCAAGTATAAGATGATTATTAATGTAAATCAGTTCTCCTCTGATGTTGAGTACCCACCCATACCCACCGACAAGGCTATGGGCGTACCCATACCCACCCATGCCCATTGGGTATGGGTGAGTACGTGGGTGGGTGTGGGTGTGGGTATGGGTACCCAATGCAGGGCTCTATAAGATATACATCATATAATATGATTAAATTTTAGATATTAATTTTAAGCTTCCCTTAATTAATGCATATTGATCTTACCAAATTATTTGGAAGCCATGTAAGACATTAATGCATCTATGTGTCCATATAAATTGAATTGAATCATACAAATAAAGTTCTCATTTAAATCCAGTAGATCATAAAATCATATTCATATCATATAATACAGTCAATTAAGCCTAATGTGCATCAATTCATCCTTTAATTCCTACTACTAAATTATATTAATTTAGAAATCTAATCATACAATATGTTATATAATAGAAAGGGAAAATAATTAAAATTTTGAAATAAACTAATTAAAAATATTATATTATGATTTTAAGTTGAATTTAAACATGATAATACTGTAAGATATACATCATATAGTATGATTAAATTTTAGATATTAATTTTGAGCTTCCCTTAATTAATTCATATTGATCTTACCAAATTATTTGGATGCCATGTAAGACATAAATGCATCTGTGTACTTCAATTATATTGACATTTCACTGTACCCATTAACTCTTCATGTGCACATTATAATGAGTACGATTTTTTTATTACTTCTTAAAACAGTTTTCTAATACAATAATTTTAATTTTTCTACTAAAAAGCTGTTATAAGTAGGAAGAAAGTTGTCCCAAATAAAATCTTAGTTAAAAAATTTGTTTGATAATAGTACTTCAAAAATCACTTTAGGTAATACCCTGAAATATTTTATGTGTAGGTTTCAAGTTTTTTTGGTATTGCATTGGTTACCCAAAAAAAAAGTGTGGTTGGTTTAGTAGCTAAGGCTTCGTTTGAGACGACTTTCTTTCTGTTTCTTAAAGCAGTTTTCTAGTATAAATTTTTAATTTTTGTACTAGAAAGCTACTTTATGAAGCAGTAAAAAAACTGTCCCAAATAAAGCCTAAATGTGCTTTTCTTTGCAAGAAAAACAGACGGAATAAAGTAATCTAACCGGATGCCTTCTTCCCAAATATCAAGAAGGTAAAGAATTCCTTGCCTTTTACATAAACTCTTAGACTCAAGCAACAAAATACAGAAAGTAAAATGAAATATCGGAGACAACTTCTCGGTTGAATTATTGTATAACCTGCTTCTGCTTCTGCTTCTGCAATATCAAACCTTGCTACAAATGGCCTCAAGCCAAACCAGCCATGATTTAATAGAAGGGCTAAGGACCTCATGCAACAATCTGGTGAGAAGAATGATGAGACTCCCTTTCGGCATTCTACATGACATCTCAAGAGTAATCGGCCGAGAAGCCACAGGAAGGAATTCTTCATATCCAGAACCTCTACATCAGCTTGAAGAATTTGAGATCAATATTCCTGAAGAGTGGTACTTTCTGAATGTCTTTGAGAGGCAGTACGGTGAATCGCATCCATTCTTTTACGCAAGCCGCTTCATGGAGGCTTTGAAGATAGCCAAAAATGAGTCCAAGTTTGTTTTTGTGTATCTTCACTCTCCTGATCATCCATTGACTCCTTCGTTCTGCCATGAAACCCTGTGCTCGGAACTGGCAGTGCAGTTTCTTGATGCGAATTTTGTTTCATGGGGCGCTGTTGCGAGTCGAGGGGAGGGGCTGGAGATGGCAATGGCGCTGCGTGTAACGAGCTTCCCTTTCTGTGCTGTTGTTGCTCCAGCCACAGGAAAATCCATTGCAGTTTTGCAGAAGGTACAAGGCAAAATTTTGAAGTGCTAGGTTGTTCGATTCATTGATTATTAGTTTATTAAAGCTTTATTTCACCAATTATAATCCCAGTATCTTTTCGTTCAATCCTTTTATATGTTTATTATATGGGAGACTGTATTTATATTTCCTGTATAACAATCTAGGAACACAATGTTCAATATTTAGCAGATAACCAACGAACTGATTTGGACTAATAATTTTTTAATGCACTGCAAAACAAAGGGAAATACTGTATTACGCAAGTGACATTGAAAAGGAACTAAATTAAATGCTTATTATAGAATCCGAAGCTAGCTGCAATGCAAGTTTCCAGACTTTTTTAAGATGGATATAAGCATTCAAATACAGTAACTCAGAAGGGCTAACAATGCAAAATCAACAAATTACTTCTTCTAGCTTTTCTTTTTGTAGTAGTTTCTGCAAAAGAACATTTTTTTCAGGTTGAAGGCCCAGTTTCCCCCGAGGCATTAGTCGAAATCTTACAGAGGACACTAGAAGAGCAAGGCTCTGCTTTCAGGCTCTCAATAACAGCAGAAGAAGAAGTGATCAGAGAAAATCGCCGACTGAGAGAGGAACAAGATAAAGCTTATCTTGCAGCTCTTCAGAAAGATAAGGTTTTTAAGTAGGAACATAACCCAGATGCATTGAATACGCTAAATACAATTTGTTTATTTCGCAGGAAAAAGAAGAGGTTCTATCAGCAACTGAGAGGAGGAGAAAGCCAAATGATGAAAATCTTTCAAGAAAACCAGCACAAAAGCATACTCTTGAACAAATGAAAGAAGTTCCAAAGGAGACACCAATGCCTAAGGAGGCTTCAATAGAAGCTCAGAAGACAAGAGTATAAATAACATTACTCTTATGTATAAATCTATTATTTTAGAACTAATGATTCCGATTTCTAAACAAAGTAAATTGCATTGCAGTTACTGATCAGATTTCCAAATGGAACAAAGAAGGAACAGAAGTTCACAAGCACTGACACAATTCGATCCATATACAAATACATAGATTCTTTGGAAATACCTGGTGTTGGAAGCTACCAGCTAATATCAAACTTCCCAAGAAAGGTTTATGGTCATGAGCAGCTGGATATGACGCTTCGTGAAGCTGGCCTGCATCCTAATGCTGCACTGTTCTTGGAGCTCATTAGTTAGCAATATTGTCAAATGATTGCATTGTTTCCACGACAGCTAACTGTAAAACGGATTGGCAAGGCCGATATTACAGAATTGGTTTTCATTCATTTCCTTATTTGAGATCGGAATGTTTTTAGTAGAACATGAAAGAGATCAAAGAGTTAACAAGCTTGAAATGTTCAGTTAAATGATACAACACCAAACTCATGGATTATAAAATATTTATATTAATATTATTTAAACTTAAAATTATTTTAAAATATAAAAATAATATTCTAAAATAACTTATTTGATATAAGTTAATAAATTATTTAATATTATCATTATATATGATATTAACATAAAAAATATGCATAATTAGTATATAACTCTTTATTGTGCATAATCTTTTATTGTTAAGTATAAATTTTATAATATGTTATTATCTTAATTATCAATAAAAAATGTTATTTTTAGTTGATGTTATGTAGGAAATGCTTAGGAAAAAGAGAAAGATTTACAAGTGTAGAATCAGCGCCACAACGCTCCAACTACCAGCGCCGCAGCATCTACAATACCTCGGAGCCATATCAAGAAATCACAGTGCTATAGTAAAGTATAAGGGAGGCTAGGGAAGAGCAAAATATTTTCTTCGAAGATATTAGCTTATCTTGTTGTGAGCAATCATACATTTGGAGGATAAAGGAGTGTGAAGAGTACTTTTGAACTATTCAGGTGACATTTTATACAAGAAATGAAGATGTGTTTGTCTTCTATCTTTATCATGACTAGCTAATATCTGAGTTTTGGGCCAATATCATGAATATATTGTAAATACTAATGCGGACACTTGTACTTTGAATGAAATTATGAATATTTTCAACATCTCCCATTATTAATTTTATATATACAGTGGTCATATGTATAATTAATATCTAATGTGATATATTGCCTCAACAGAGGAATATTGAAACAAATAAGAGTATTAGAATGAAATATTGGTTTAATCTTAGTTTCAAATATATGTTCAAACCTAAATTCAAACTTGATTTGACCCTAGCCTCTATTTTGAAGCTATTTTTTTGAATATAGGTTTACTAAGAAGTTTGAAGTAGATTTTGAATATAATAGTAAAAGTTTGCATCTAGTTTGAACCTGATTTTAAACATTATTTTAAAGCCAATGGCCAAAATATGATTCAAAAAATAAGTTTGAACTAGATTCAAACATTAATATATAAGGCTCGAAACTAAATCTTGAATCTAGTTTTACACCTCTATTTCAAACTTATAATAATAAGTTTGAACCTTGTTCAAACCCAAATATTTGTGTTAAGATTCAAACTTTGTATTACAAGTTTGAACCTATTTTGAGCTTGAAATTGCATCTAATGGTCAAACACCAAGTTCAAAATAATTTGACAGGCTCAAACACTTTTAAATCTTCTTTCTTTTTAACATAAAGTTCTCCTTTCTATTTTAACATAGAATTGCCAATATCATAATATTATGGGCGTTGAATGCATTCTAACCTAATTAACAAAAAATAAATGAACTTTATCCTTGAACAAAAGGTAGTTGAAAGAATCGCAATGAACAGTAGTAAAAAGGCGGTATAGTGATGCTTTACAACAAATTAATCACTCGAGCATTGAGATTGCTGGAGATGGAAAAAGCGCTTGAAAGAGAAATTTAAATTTCTTTCCTGTTTGATTGTTCGTAGGATAAAAAGGAACATAAGGCTCATTTTGTTTGAAATAGAAATGTAATCATGTTTATATCAACCATATTTGTCCGAATATGCGTATAAAATTAAGTTTCCCATTATAACTAATTTAAATTCAATTTTTACAAGTTGTTTTTCCTAATAGAATTTTTTAAATTAAAATTTTTATTTTGTATTAATTAGTTTGAGAATTTTGAATTGATAAAATTTAATATAACTCTCATTTATTTTAATGAAAGTAGCAATATTATAGTTATATATATATATAATTTTTAGGTTTTAATTTAATTTACACAAAAATAATACTTTAATTAAAATTAAGTAAAATAAATGAGGGAGAATTTCAATGAAATGGAATAAAACTCTCACATATTTTTAGGTGTTAGTGGGTAATGTATTAATTTTTTTTTTTTTGTTAATTAATATTGTACTCTATTATATTTTAATTAAGGTTATTTTTCTATTTCTTATATTGATTTTCCTTAAATGGTTGTGGCAAATTTCCTGTGAAATATTGTTACCCTATTTTTCATAAGTTGGTGTAGCTACTTCGTTGGTTGGAAAATAATTTGCTGATGGATTGCCTGCCAAATAAATCTTCTTTTATCTATTACATTAATTTCTTTGTAAGTGTAGAAGATTATTTTGAATGTTTTTCTTCCAACTCTCTCTTTTTTTTTTTTTTTTACTTTTTGAAGCAATAAGAAAACTCAACACATCGCATATGGAAGCTTCAAACTTTAGATCTGTTGGTTTGTAGCTAAAGCTTTCAACCAACAAATCTAATAGGAGACGCTTCACTTCCAGCTCTCTAGCCTCTTGGTGATAGGTTGCAAGTTATGATCTTCATTAGTTATAATAATGATAATGGTATCTTCCATGTGAAAAGTAATTAATATGCACAACTTCCATCCAACTATTATTGGAGATTCACCTAACACTTCTTAAAGATTTATTGCTAAAAAAATAATTCACACTATATAGTAATTTTATTGTTGATTCAAGATGAAATGAATTAAAATAACAAACATGGATGTTGCTGAGAAGGTTATTTAGTTTTTTTTCGTTCTTGCTAGAGAAAAATTAAGAATGATTATTATTATTACATATTAAAAAATTTGAGTCAAAGTAGAGTGTGTGTTTTATGTTTTAAGCAGTGTACAAAGATTCAGTACAAATAGATTAAAATTACTAGTACCAATATAATATTATGTTGAAAAACTATTAAAAGGTAACAAAAACCGGTGGCTGACATAGTGTTTAAATAATAATAGTAAGTGATACAAAGACCTCTTTATTTACCATTGAGAAGAGGGAGTACAAAAATTAAGTGTCCTAGAAGACGATGAATGCCCAACAATAGGATTGATTTTTCCTAATAGGGATTATGATGAACTTTTATACCCAAAGCAGCGGTTAAATCTTTTTAATACTCTAAACATGATAGAGATTTTTTATGGTGATCCTCATTTGATGAAGGTGGTTGTCAGCCCGTAATAGCTGGTAGTCGTCAGCAACGGTGATAGTTGGAACAATGTTAAAGAATTATCCCTGTTATTCTCCTCTATCCTCTCGCACTTCATTTGAAGACATGGGCTATTGTAGGTTTTTGCAAGTAAGCCTCGTACGGAAACAACCCTATATGAAGAAGATCTTAGGAAATTAAGAGTGCTTCATCACGGTCCCAAGTATGCATTCATTCTAATCATGAGAGCTTTATACAAGCATCTAAAAAAGTGCCTTATCACCATAAGGAAAATTCACTGATTTCCCGCAGGATTCTCCGGCGGCTTTTCCGGCGGTCACGTTTCCGGCAACTTTGTCCACGCGGTTCTGCGCTTTTTCTCACCGAATTCCGCGGAATTTTCGGCGGCTTTTTTACCTTTTCCGACGCTTTTTAAAAAATTTTATTTGAAATGAATAAAATTTTTACTATTTAAATGGATTTAACAAAAAAATTATTAAAACTATATTAACTATTTAATTAATTCTCATTTTAAAATTAATTAGCTAGTTAATTTTTATTTTATATTAAATATTATTTTTTATTTTAAATTAATTAGTTTTATTTTTTAAAATAATTAAAAAAATAATTGATTTTTGTTCTAAATATACTTTAAATAAAAAATATTGACAAAAAAAAACGTATTTGCATAATCGTCATTTTGGTTAGTTGCTTGAAATTCTTCGGGGAGGACCGCGGTTCGAATCTCACGGCCGACATCGCGTGCGCGGGAGCTGGCCGGTTGCTCGGGAAGGCAGGAGCTCATCGGAAGCGGCAGGGCGGCGCGGCGTCGGGACGCGGGAGCAACTGGCTACGCCGGTAACCCGAGGGAGCGCGGGGAGCTGCCGCTCGCCGGCAGCGCGGGAGCGGGTTTAATATTTTTTTTTATTTTGACCGGCGGTTTTGGCCCGCCGGCAAGCCGCCGGAATAAGTTGCCGCCGGAATTTATTTTCCTACGCCGATTTTACCGGTGGAAAATTAACCGCCGGAAAATAACAAAACCGCCGGAAAAGGCCGCCGGAAATGGGTGATTTTCCTGTAGTGTTAATGATGAGAAAATTAAGTTATATTGGGCTCATTGGATTCGTCTCGTCGAGCAACACGATTCCACTATAACCATGCCATACTTGGAGATCATTTGGTTACTCAATTAATGCCTTGAAGCTTCCAAATATGCTTGATCTCCTTGATTCGAGGCCATTAGGACTCTGATTAGATTGATTTTACTATCATTAGATTTGTCTTGTCGAGATGTTTAGTTTGACTATAAATTTGCTGAGATTGGAGTTCGAATGGTCCCAATTTTAAATTTGAAAGTTTCTAATTCAAAAATGCTTCCAAATTCGTGCTTGATCAACATGATTTTTGGTGACGTGTCAACTACATTAGGGGAGAATGATATCATGATAGATGATACTTTAGTGTTTTGCAATTATAACTTGGAAGTCATGACCACCAACTTTTAGTTGCTTTTCAGCAATGGTGATGGTTTGGTATCAATTGCTTCATGATAAATTCTTTTTATTTGAAGCTTCTCTACCTCAAGTTTTACAAAGTAGTTCTTCCTTCACTTAATATATTACTAAGAGACTCTATTTGTTAATCATTTGTAGATGACTTCTATTGCATGGGAAAGAAATATCAAAGGCACAGTTCATGACTGTTGACCTATCTGCTAGAGCCAAAAGAAACAGACAAAACGAGATTAAAAAAAAAAAACTCAAAATCATTACCTGTGGCAAAATCTCACCCAAATCGCTGCTCTCGTCGCTTCTACAGTCATGACCCATACCCTGCGATTCGGAGCCATTTGCAATCATCCCACGCTTGCCTCGATCGCTGCTCTTGCTGCGCGTCGTTAAAATGAGAGCGAAGGCTCTCATTGGCTCTTCTTCTCCCCCACGACTCGCAAGCCCCACGACTTCCTGCTCGTAGCTCTTCCCTAGCCCGTCGCCTACATCTGACTTCGCAAACTCCACCTCCCGCAAGCAGATTCGAATTCCTTCCCCTTCATCCACGAAAACCTTACCAAACCAGAACATCCATTTGAAGCTCTCGAGCGACCCATATCCGGCCGAACTCCAGATACAGAAGCCGACCTCCACTTCCCCATCCGATCATCCATTCAAATCTCCCTCCAGATCGCAAAACCCCAACCAAACGGATTGCACACAAGCGCCCTCTACCCGACGGAGTCA